CTCTAGAGGACCCCCGCATTAATTATGAAGAGGCAATGAATACACCTGACCTAGGGAATGAGATATTTATTGAAATTGCTCAACATTAATTATGAAAAGTCCAATGAAAGCATCCAATATTCCTAATGAAATATTCAATGAAAGCACACAGCATTAGTTATGAAAGAGGCAATGAATACACCTGACCTAAGGAATGAGATATTTATTGAAATTGCACAACATTAATTATGAAAAGTACAATGAAAGCATCCAATATTCCTAATGAAATATTCAATGAAAGCGCACAGCATTAATTGTGAAAGAGGCAATGAATACACCTAACATAGTCAATGAAATATTTATTGAAATCACACAGGATTGATTATGAAAAAAGCAATGAAAGCACCCAAAATTCCTAATGAAATATTCAATGAAAGCGCACAGCATTAATTATGAAAAAGGCAATGAATACACCTAACCCAGTGAATGAAATACCTATTGAAAGCGCACAGGTTTACTTATGAAAAGTACAATGAAAGAACTGAACAGCTTCAATGAAAAATTCATAGAAAGTGCATGATAATAATTATGAAAGCTCCTAAGAAATGTTATGAAAGGGTCCTGTGGTCTTTGCCTACATTTTATGAAAAGAACATAGCCTTTATGAGAAAGAATGACACAGGACAAACCTATGAAAGGCCTTTCATAAAACTTGTGGACTTATACACACAGCTCTACAGGCAAGTGCCTTAGTTTTATGATAAAGATGGTAGCCACTTGTGACTATTTGACTGCCTTCCTAGAATGGTCATCGGCAAACGCCGACGCTTGATTTTCCCAATCAATGATCCACGTCTCTCTTCCTCAACCATCATACATCCCCAGCAACGACGACAATCCAGCGTCATCCGATGGCGACAACATTGTCTGCGCAAAGTGAGTCCCCATCCCCACCCTTTCCATCCCACCCCAACCTAGCTCATCTGACCACCAACAGATGATGATGACATGCACTGACGGCCCACCACGCCCA